CCTCATCAAAAGGGGTACATTTGTATGGTGTTGTGACAATTTTACATCATTGTATAATAATAATAATACCAATATAATATGTATTAAATAGTCATCCTTTCAAGCCATTCATTTATTCTAACTTCTCTCTAGTCTCTTTTTAAGAACATGATGATGATGATGATGGTTATTATTATTATTATTATACATTTGTCCTACACTGAAAAGGTCTGCATGTAATCCAAGGCAAGAGCGTGTGTGTGTGCGCGCGCGCGTTTCAGGGTCTGATGACATGCTGCACCCTCGCATCATCTCTCACCTCATCACACAGACAGACATCCGCCCCCCTTCATTCATAACATGTGAGGGGGATAGAAACAACTCCAGCAGTGATGATGAAGAGTGGAGATGAGTGGTGGGGGGGTTGCCTATCATCCTGACGTGTGCCTGGATGCTGATGTGCTCCAGATGTGCTGTATCTTACGGTCTATGTTGAAGCAGCTGTTCTCCCGCTCTGTGCAGGACTGACTACAGCGACGCGCGGCAGCCGGCGGCGGCGCTCAGCGGCTGCGGCAGCTCCAGCGGCAGCGGCGGCAGCATCTTCGTCTCTCCTCCGCAAACCCTCCGATCACAGCGGTCCCTCATCTCTGCGGCGTCTTCTCTCAGTCTGCGGGGAATCAGTCACCGTTAGTATCACGCAGGAGAAGGCTTCGTGTGCGGGGGTCCGCCGTGCCTGCTGTCCCCTGCGTGCGCACGAAACGCGTCTCACGAAATCAGACGCTTTGCGATCATCTAGAGTCGGTTCTCCCCACAAGTTACACAATGAAACGGAACCACATCACCGCCTGTGTGAGTCCGTGAAGTGGTGCTGATGTGAGCCGGGCGGAGGTGGCACTCACCGGGCTGTGGACTCCGTGTGAAGCGGCGCACAGGCAGCCTGCCCCGGCTGCATACTTTAATCTGAGCTCCGAATAAAGACTGGAGTTATGAATGAAACCACACGCGATTAGACCCACCCACCGCCCGCTCCCGACGCAGCACATGACCTGCACTGATGATGAGGATGATGATGATGGTGATGATGGTGATGGAGGTGGTGATGTACAATGGAGGAGGAACCCCGTCCTCATTCACAGTATTTTGCTCATGAATGGCAGCTGATGTTATATAGATTGGTAGATTATTTCAGTATAAGTATTAGTATTATTTTTAGTAGTAGTACTACTACTAGTACCGAACATCGATTCTAACTCTGCAGTTGAATATTTTCTATTTGCTGTGTTTCAGTGTTTCTCTTCTTACTGCACGAAGACAGATGGTTGTCGTGGAAGGTTTTTGTAATGTCATCTTTCACCACCTGATGGCACTGTTGCACTGTAGTAGCTCTCAAGTTGAATATTCTGTACTTAAGATGGAAGTGATTTATGTAATGTTTTTATTTTTTTAAAGTCAAATCCAGAGCAGACCTTCAGGGGCCATGACGAGACTCACAGAGGACCCTCCAGGTAGAACACAGTTTCACTTCCCTCGAATTTAACAAAGGTATTCAAAATTAGAAAAAGTCACAATGTGTTTCCCAATGAGAGAAAGTTCTGGAGTGTAAATAGCCTATACAGAAAGATTTTGCATGAAAATAAACAACAGCAGCATCTTTACAAACAGTGCAAAATGGTACGAGAATTCTTTTTTTTTATCTCCTTATATTTACATATGAGACAGAATTACCAATGGGGTCTAGCTGCCCTAAGCTCCAGAGATAGAGTTATTCTAATCAATACATCAAACCTTTGACAGGTAATGTCCCAGTGTGAGCGCTATAGGTTTCTATAGTCCTCACTGTATTTTATGGGAACTGTAAAGCAGTTCAAAATATATTGGTGTCTGAGGAAAATATTTATATAAAGATACCTGTGTTACCTCAGCTTGTGATTACTTACTCTTGATGCTTGTCATCATGTTGTAGTGCTCGCACAATGACAATAAAGTTGGAAAACTGAAAAGAGGCCCCTGAGCTGATTATGTAAGAGCACAGTTGTGTAGAAGCCACCAGTTCCTTTTTGCCAGAGGCTTCCAAAGTCCATTGGAACACCTTTGTTTATACTGCGCTCTTTCGGGAAACAATTTTAGCTCTTTGTAGATACAGTTTGTTTGTTTGGGTTCAGATAAGTTGGGTTCTGCTAAATGACATGGAATATGACCAATATGACCTTTGCTGCAGGGTTACTTCATTGTCTGAGTCCTTTTCAGTTATATGTCTGTTCTGCCCCCTGAGTCCTTTCTCTTTAAATCATTTTTTTATCAGGCTGCCAAAACAAAATTAGCACACAAACTCTAATCCAGCCCCCTTCTTGCAATCATGCCCTCTGCAGATACACTCCTGTGTGATGTAGAAAATGAAGGCTTTGCACAAACAGAAAATGCCTTGGCAGCAATGTGGCAGGAGGCCTGATCTGTAGCTGGATGATAACACAAAGTGGGAGGACGGTGAGTGTGAAGCAGCGAAGTGAGTCAGATGTCTGAAGAACCTGTTTTATGTCTCTGCAGAAAAAAAACTTTCCCTCTTAAACCTTCAGCGAAGCGGCTCAAAGAACAACTGGTTGAGTGATGGAAATAACAGCACACATGACCAGTGGGTTAATGCAGCTGGGGGAATCGGTGCAGAACAAAGTGACCTACATGTAAACTGGAGTTAACAGAGGTGTCACAGTTTATGCTTTTGATTCAGGAATGTGACTGTGTTCCATGTGACGTGTCCTTGTGAACTTTCCTGACGTTTCATGTCTTCTCAGGCAGTGCACGGTACACCACAACATTTTGGGGATATTTTAGCTCTCCAGGGAATTTTCCACTGCTTAAGATGGTTTACTTTACTCAAAAAGCCTGAGAGATTTCTTTAAACATCTAAAACTTAAACACAGTATATGGGTTTCAAGGACTTGGGACTTGTTTATAGAGTTTAGAGAAAAAAAATCTTCAACAGTCTTTACAGCTGCTTGCTTTTAACACTTTTTAAACTCATCCATTAACTAGAATGACACTCAGTAGAGAGCGTACCTCGGCCAACTCTTAATATCCTTAAATTAACTAAATTGCATTAAATTGCCCTCACTTATAGATCTAAGTTCCCTCAATGTATCTGATATTTTCATCAAGATCCACAAATTATTCCCAGGTCTCACAATGTTAAAGACAGAGAGAGTCCTTCTCCGACCCATATCGCATCCTTCAACTAAGTTTCATGATAATCCACCTGTCGTTTTTGCGTAATTCTGCTAACAAACAAATAAACCAACAAACACGTGGACAGGAGTGAAAACTTAACCGTGTTGGTGGATTTAAAAAGTCTTAATAAGCTGAAGTGTTTAGTAACATGGTGAACACTCTCAGTGTTAATATCCTTAGTGAAGACCATTTTCACTGTTCAGATCAGTATGTGGAGTATATTACCCTCAGAAGTCTTGACCGATCATGACTGAGATCAATTTCAACTCAAACCCATACAGCTTTTAAAGAGGGGTCAGTAATGCAGTCCTGAATGATCCGATCTCATGCTCATCTATGAGTTTTATAATGTTTATAGTTTTACTAGTGATAGGCATTAAATGCTATGATATATACAAACAACTAGTATTTTGGAAATCAGAGCTGTATTTGAAACAGATGGGTGAGTTTAATTTAAGACCATAGTTAGAAATTCATTAGATTCAGTCGTTTCAGATTTTCACCCCAATAAAGGATATAAACTAATGTCTCAAAGATCATAAAAGAGTCATGAGTACTCTCCTTCATCTGTGCGCCTGTATTTTCAGACAACCTGAGTCCATTTGTTGTTTTCTCAGTCAGTGAGATGATTCTTGGTGAAATAATCAGGGCACATTCCTCACATACAATCTCTGAAATTCCTGGGACTGTGAGGTGTAACACAGCAACGATTTAAACATCTGGGAAATGATGCCAGGAGAGGGGGTGGGAGGAATGTGAGGGAGAGTATACACAGAGCCTGTGTGCATGTGTGTATTGCTGACGTCAGGGCTGCGTCTGTGCGGGCACTCGAGAGCAGGACATCCTGTGGAATTGTTCTCGGCGAGGCCTGCCTCAAGAATGTAAACTAGCGACCTCTCCCTTTCAATGTGACAAGCTGCCATAGAAATGCATGGGGGGATGGGCGAGGGTTGGGGGGTATAGTCTCAGGGAGGGAGGGAGGGAGGGAGAGAAAATGGCTCTCTGGATAGTCGAGTTCCTCCAGTCACGTAGAAGGAGAAATGACTAAGAAGGTATGAGTGTGGGATTCCTTTAAAATTCCTATGACGCTGTGCTCTTGAATTTCACTTTCTGTGTCCACGGGACAGCATCCTCATGGATTTACAGAGCATACATCTATGAAGCGTCTCATACAGACAGAGACGATGATTCTAAAACAAGGGAAGCAGAAAAAAGAATAAATGCTGCTGTTTCCAAACACTGATTGACAGAAAAGACACAAAGATAAGAACATGCATGTGAACACTGCATTTAGGAGAGAGTGCAGAGGAGTGAGTGTGGGGGTGAGGGAGGGAAGGAGAGGAAGGTTATATGGGAGAGGAGTGACGCAGGCTGGACAAAGCGGGGGTGTTATGGGTGCAGCTATTTTTAGCCATAGCGAGGAGACACATATTAGCTGCATTTCTCTGCCCACTTCCCGATTTACTTTACTCCAGAGCAGCTCCGGTCCTCTGTGCGTCATGTGACAGGTGCAGCCCGAGGCCCTGCTGCCTGTGGACACAGAGTGGACACGAAGATAGCAGAGGATGTGGACGTCTGCAGAATACAAATAACACCATGGTCTGAGCAGTAAGGGTTGTCCAGCATCCATATATGTGCATGTGATGGGAGCTTTCCTGCCTTCAGCCCAGTGCATGGTGGGACACTGCTCCAGCACCCATGTGACCTTGAAAAGGAAAAATAGAGGAGAAGGGATTGAGAATGTTCTTTAAAGACACTGATTTTATCTTAAGCAGGTTGAACTGAAGAATTTGAAACATATTTCAGAATTATTAATGATATGTTTGGAAGCAAGATGACACGAAAACAACTGAACAGATTTCCATGTGGCATGACACAATAAGAACCCATTAAATGTCGTTACCTGACCTTCTTGTTGATTTCTTAGAGAATAATTCATGGATCTCGATGAGAAAAATCTGTCATATCTAGGGGACTGATATCTTTAAGTCGGCCATTTGGTGCGGATCCAAGTAAAGATTTATATAGATCCATATGTTTAGATAGATTAGGATCTATATAAATATGGATGTAAATGTGGTTGCATTGGGGACTGTATATATATATATATATATAATCAACCTACTTACCTGTATATCTTTTTTCCAGTATCTATGTATTCTTGATTGCAAGAAGATCCAGATGTACTGACACTGGTTTTGTGATCAGTGAGCTCAGGTTTCACAATCAGGGTAATGCCGTGTTTCACGCCACACAGACAAACTTACTGATGAGTCAGTGATTGATGTTATCATGAACCATGTCCTGGAATTTGCTGGTACACATCAACCTGTGTGTCATCAACCAAACCCCCCCCCAGGGCACCAGGATAGTAATCATCATAACAGGAGGTGAATTTTAACTACATGTGTTTTTCCTGGCTTGAGTCACAGTGACTACTCCAGGAATTTAAATTGTCTCGGAGAAGCTTTGAATAGCAACAATATATTCAAACATTTAAGATCACACATACAGTCAATCATTTGAAATGAAAGACATTATGAGTAGAAACCATACTATTGATATTGTCAATCATTTCATTAGAGAGATATTTAAAACTTAAAAAATATGAACAGAATTAGAACTATTGATGTAGTCAATCATATAATCAGTATATCTTATCAGTATATATAATTTTAATCTTAAAAAAATATGAATACAAATGAATTATTGATACATTCGATCATTCAGTCAAATTCAGTCGAATTCTTTAGA